CTCTTCTGGTTACCAGATATTTGTCTCACTCTCCCTCTTACAGGCAAAATACATTCATTCCTTCCCCAAAGGAGACTGCCCCAAAGTCTCACCCAGCACAGTATCTGGATGAGGCCTAATTTAGGCTCTTACTCAGGAGATGATATAAAGTCATTTCTACATCAACTCTGGATGTGGTTCCTCTTGATCTTGAAACTTCTGAAATAAAAGTGGCAAATTTTCTGCTCTTCACATTGTATATTAGTATTTAATTGTGAAACAAAGATAGGAAAACTCAATCCTACATTACCATTCAGAAAGTGGGTGAATGGGAGATACCCAGCAGTCACTGGTGCTAAGTCATTCTAAAATGCTAAGGCAATTCTGAATTTCCTCTGGGCCCCCTGCCTTGCAGATGGAGAAGGGTCCTTTAGGGTCCTGATACTTCTCCCTGGAAGGGTCTTCCCAGTCCATTGTTCTCTTCAGCCCTTGACTCCACCCCTTGGGAGTTATCTTTTTTCCCTCAGTAGACTCTTTGATTGCATCTAAAACGAACACTGAAGATGAAGCAGGAAGAAGGAAACAGCTTTCTGAATAAATTATAAAATGTTTAGATGTCACCTACGGTGTTTAAAGGTGAGACCTCTTTTCAGTTACCTGTATTTACCAACATCCAACCACATAAAAGGTTATGTGAGGGCTCTTCCTTTCAGAAGTCTGATAGTATCTGTAACTGGGTAAATTCTGCATTTCTGGTACAGAACTAGATTGTTTTCTGGGGATTTACACAGCTTGTTCAGTTCTTATGCTGATGTATCCCCTGTTTTCCATTACTGCAGAATTCTAATTTTTTTTTTCTCCATGTACTGAAAGCTTTAAGCTTTAGGTGTGGAATTTTCTCCATCTCCATTCCTGGATCTCTAGCCACCACCTATACAACCTGCTCATTCTACCACCCCTGTCAATATTAACAAGTGGGGGCCTTCTGTCCCTTACTGCAGGCTCATATAATCATCAACATATTAGAAATTGTGCTTCCTACTTTCCTTCTCCTCTCCCTTCCTTCCTTCCTCCCTTCCTCTCCCTAAACCAAATAGGCTTAAAAAGTTATTTAGACTTCTAGGCACCTCTTGCTTTCCTTATTAACAGAAGATTGGGAAAATATTTCTAGCCTACTGGAATAGATTTCACTCTCTTTTATTTTTCCTTTTTTTTGAGATGAGGGTCTCACTCTGTCACCCAGGCTGAAGTGCAGTGGTGCAATCTTGGCTCGCCGTAACCTCTGTCTCCCCAGATCATGCAGTCCTCCCACCTCAGCCTCCCAAGTAGCTGGGAATACAGGCATGCACCACCATGCCTGGCTAATTTTTTTTTAAATTGTACTTTAGGTTCTGGGGTACATGTGCAGATCATGCAGGATTGTTGCATAGGTACATATATGGTAAGGTGGTTTGCCGCCTCCATCCCTCCTGGCTGGCTAATTTTTGTATTTTCGTAGAGATGGGGGTTTCATCACGTTGCCCAGGCAGATCTTGAACTCCTGGACTCAAGTGATCTGCTTGCCTTGGCTTCCAAAAGTGCTGGGATTACAGGTGTGAGCCACCACACCTGGCCTCACTCTCTTTTTAATAGCTGCCTAATATGCTACAGTTTGGAAGTCATACATTTTATTGAACCGTTTCCCTGTTAAAGGGCACTCATCTTATTTCCCATTTGCCTTACTTTTGTTTTTGTTTTTTAATTTGGGCACTGTAAAGGATGCTGCAGGGAACATTCTTATGCCTATCCTTGAATACTTGTGCTTTTTTATGGCCTAGGAGAGGGCTTTGCTGAGTTAGAAATACATGTGTACTTTTAATTTTAATAGATGTTCTCAAAATCTTTCCAAGCAATGTTCCAAAATACCCTTTCTCCATCCTCTCCAGTGTAGGCATCTTCCCTGCTCTGATGAGAATAATTGCAGCTGCAGCACTGGTTGCATAGCTGAGGCACTCGTTAACATGCCATAGTATATTTCCAGGGAGTTTAAAACTCCACTGAAAAAGACTGGTCAGATTTGATGACTGGGGGTACTTGCAATTTTTCTTTTGTATTTTTTTTTTTTCCAAGACAGAGTCTCACTCTGTCGCCCCGGCTGGACTGCAGTGGTATGATCTTGGCTCACTGCAACCTCTGCCTCGGGTTCAAGTGATTCTCCTGCCTCAGCCTCCTGAGTAGCTGGGACTACAGGCACATACTGCCATGCCCAGCAAATTTTTTTTTGTATTTTAGTAGAGATAGGGTCTCACCATGTTGCCCAGGTTGGTCTCCAACTCCTGACCTTGTGATTTGCCCACCTCACCCTCCCAAAGTGCTGGGATTACAGGCTTGAGCCACCACACCTGGCTGTGTTTTGTATTTCTTAAGAAATTCATGGAAAGTTGATAGCAGGGAAGAAATTGGAGATCATTTAATGCAACCCATTCCTTTTACAGGTAAGGAAATTAAAATCCAAAGAGGCGGAAGGAGCAACAGTGAGCTACTTACTGTCTGTTGCTTCAAGGAAGCAGATGCTCTGAATCCCAATCTGGGGCTTTACCTATTAAAAAATGCTGCTCCTACACTCTGGCCCATGCTACCAGTGAGTTTTGGAGAATGAACCAACAGACTTCATCTCTGAGCTGAATCAGCAAATGGGGATGACCAGTTTCCAGTTTTTTATCTCCTGCTAGGACAAGCCAGCTTCCCAAACTATACTGGTCGCAGAATGTGCTTTGTAAACTTCTGCAAAGATAACAGGACATTTCTTAACTTGGTCTTTTCAGTGAAATTTGTTGCTCTTAATCTTTTGAGGGCCCTGAATTTTTTTTTCTTCTATAATGCTAGAGTTCCTGCTCAACAAGTGAGAAGCAGCTATCTTGGTTCATAACCAAAATAACAATAGTGAGGCATAGGAGGGAAGATTTTGTTTACAGAAACAGTTTCCTGCTAGGCACTCCTCCCTATACCCTCCTGAATTGAAATCTAAGTACTAGTAGGAGTGCCTAGCAAAAAAAAAACCTTCTGTAGGGGCCACTGATGTTTCTGGCAATGTGAACAATTTGACAAGGGTTCATATGGATGTTTTCTATGGCTGAAATAAAAGAAACTTGGAAGGAAGCCATTTTTGCACCTGAGTCTTTAAACTCAAAGCCTTTTTGTTTGTTTGTTTTTGTTTAGTTTGTTTGTTTTCAGACGGAGACTCGCTCTGTCTCCAGGCTGCAGTGCAGTGGCACAATCTCGGCTCACTGCATCCTCCACCTCCCAGGTTCAAGTGATTCTCCTGCCTCAGCCTCCCGAGCAGCTGGGACTACAGGTACAAGCCACTACACCCAGCTAATTTTTATTTTTAGTAGGGACTGGATTTCACCATGTTGGCCAGGATAGTCTCTATCTCTTGACCTCGTGATCCATCCACCTTGGCTCCCAAAGTGCTGCAATTACAGGTATGAGCCACCACACCCAGCCTAAACTCAGTTTTAATATATACAGTTTCAGGTTTGCCTATGGATTCTATGAGGGAAATAAAAAGGAAGACTCCAACCTTTGGTTTCCACGTGGGTTTGCTCTGTGTTCATCGCAGAGCATTTGACAGTATGGCATTAACTATCCAGGCTGTCTCTGTATAATGTCAGACTGTTTAGGTAGCTCCCCTCTGTTCATGTCAGCTCTTAACAATAAAGAACTTTTGGCCGGGTGCAATGGCTTACGCCTATAATCACAGCACTTTGGGAGGCCGAGGGAGGCGGGTAGATTACAAAGTCAAGATATCAAGACCATCCTGGCCGACATAGTGAAACCCCGTGTCTACTAAAATACAAAAATTAGCTGGGTGTGGTGGCATGCACCTGTAGTCCCAGCTAATCGAGAGGCTGAGGCAGGATAATTGCTTGAACCCGGAAGGCAGAGGTTGCAGTGAGACGAGATGGGGCCACTGTACTCCAGCCTGCCTCCTGGAGACAGACTAAGACTGTCTCAAAAATAATAATAATAAATAAAGAGCTTTTATAGCAATAAAAATCCTCACGCTGGAAATTCATTTTGTTATAGGTAACCATCACAAGCACATTAAGTATGTATTCACCTAGAGGCATGCCTTTGTGTTTCAGACCTCGCCTTGGCTCCTCTGGTTTAGTAGTTCCCAAGCCTGTGGATTGGAACCACTAGGGAAATTTTTAAAAATATTCATGCCTGGATGCCATGCCTGAATTAAACAGAATATGTGCAAGAGGAGGCCAGAAGTTGAGTATTAAAAGCCTCCCAGCTGATTTTAAAAGGCAGCCAGGTTGAGAATTTCTGGGCAAGCTATTTGGGATAGAGAGGATGTCTCTATTTAATGCAGAAAGAAATCAGATATAACATGGGTTATTCTTTTTAGAATTTCATATCTGCTCATCATCTCTCATAGTCTACTTCCTCTCTCTTTCCCCTTTCTATGTATTATATAGATTAAAACAGTGGAATTGCATCTCATAAAGTCAGTTCATAAAGCAAAAATTGAGTCGTTGAAAAGCACCCTAGGTTAGAGACCAACACACCATCTCTTGGTACATCCAGGCATGGTAAGTTTTTCCTTTAGGATTTAAGCAGATCAGTTTCTTTGGTGAAGATTCTGATGAAACAGCAATTGGGAGCCAGGATGTATGCAAAAATACATATCTATCTTTAAATATTAGAGTAATAGTCAGCTTGATGAGATACTCCAGCCCTAGGAAGCATGTGGGAATTGAGACTGGTTTAGGGAACCACAGAATCCTATTTCTCATCTCAGTGAATTCTGAGTGGAATGCAGTGGCATGTGAGCAGAGCCATGGACACTTTTTCAGTTGTGAAATTTTCTGTCTGTGCCTCCTTTTAGGCACATATAGTTGAATTCAAATAAACTGAATGTCAAATGCACAGGTAGATATGACACCACTGCATTTGCTTATTTAATATTCAAAAACTGAATACTTCTGTGCACACATAGCACTCAGCAGCACACTTTTCTTTCTGTCCTTTAGCATTCCCATGGTTTGGCATGGACATCGGTGGAACACTGGTTAAATTGGTCTACTTTGAACCAAAGGATATTACAGCCGAAGAGGAGCAAGAGGAAGTGGAGAACCTGAAGAGCATCCGGAAGTATTTGACTTCTAATACTGCTTATGGGAAAACCGGGATCCGAGACGTCCACCTGGAACTGAAAAACCTGACCATGTGTGGACGCAAAGGGAACCTGCACTTCATCCGCTTTCCCAGCTGTGCCATGCACAGGTTCATTCAGATGGGCAGCGAGAAAAACTTCTCTAGCCTTCACACCACCCTCTGTGCCACGGGAGGCGGGGCTTTCAAGTTCGAAGAGGACTTCAGAATGGTAGGTCAGGTTTGTCTTTGTTAAAACAGCAAAACCTCTCACATGTCCATAATCATGGCCACTCATAACTAAGAACCAGACAACTAGCCTTGGGACTTTGGACAAGCTTATGTCACCTCCCTGTGCCTCAGTTTTCTCACCTATATATGAATAAAACCAGCTGCTACCTCATAGGGTTGTTACATGTTGGATTAAATGAGATAATGTGTACCTGGCATGTCGTAAGTGCTCACTATAGTTATCATCATCGTCATTTCTGTTACAATTATTACTGTGTAATGTGCTAAAAACAAGATGCTAAAATCCCTTCTGAAGTATTTCAGTTAGAATTATCCACAGACTCTTACTGTATAATCGTGATGCCAATTTTATGCATATACAGAGATCCATGGGAAGGCTTTCTATGAATCCTACCAAAGATGATTACTTCCAGCTACCCATTTGCTCTCGTGTCTTTTTTCAGCATATGAACCCCATTCAAAAGTTTTGCTCATCAACAAAAATGAAATATTTAATATTTATCAGCAAATTTCTTCATTAATGAATACTTTTTAGGGAGTGTAGTTCTAAGTAATAGGGATAATGCTGTATCCTGACTGGGAGTGTATACCAACTGTGTGTGGCTCATTTAGATTTAACAACTGAAGCTAAATGGGAGATATGAATAAGTAACATGCAGTCCAACATTCCTTGTTATTTAGCATTCCCTTAACATCTGTGCATTCCAATTTCTTCATTTTCTACAGTCAATACAATAATCTCTGTACTGTGTAGTCTTTTTTATTAGAATAAAATAAGAAGAAAATGAAACAACAGATGTGGCTATATCTTGGAAAGGAAAGGGACCCAGATAAGCAAAAGTGATTGAACACAGAAGAAGGAAGGGTTGGGAGATTTTAGGATTAGTCATACTACAAAGTTGAACATATAGTGAGGTAAGTCATAAAATACATATTCTCAAAGCCTGTAATACAAATTACCAGCATTTTGTGCAGAACTAATGTAATCCAGTCTTGATATAAAGTCTGTCATTAATGAATACATTAATGAATCAGCACATTCATGGTATTTAATAAAGCTATAAACGCACATTTTTGTTGTGCCATCAAAAGTAGCCCCATTTACCTCACTGATTATAGTAAGTTTCTATAAGAGCTGGCAACAGAGTCCTAGAATAGTATCCTAAGTGAAAATAATTATCTTCAGGTTTTGTTTTTTTTTCTTCTATGTCCCCTTCTACTACCCAGCAGCAGAGTTTTTTTTTGTTTGTTTGTTTTTTTTTTTCTTTTTTTTTTTGAGACGGAGTTTCGCTCTTGTTACCCAGGCTGGAGTGCAATGGCGCGATCTCGGCTCACTGCAACCTCCGCCTCCTGGGTTCAGGCAATTCTCCTGCCTCAGCCTCCTGAGTAGCTGGGACTACAGACACGCGCCACCATGCCCAGCTAATTTTTTGTAGTTTTAGTAGAGACGGGGTTTCACCATGTTGACCAGGATGGTTTCGATCTCTTGACCTCGTGATCCACCCGCCTCGGCCTCCCAAAGTGCTGGGATTACAGGCTTGAGCCACCGCGCCCAGCCAGCAGTAGAGTTTGACTTGCCGTTTACTTAAATGACCCATGGGATCTTTATCTCATCAAAAGGGTTGATGATGATCAAAGAGTTTTGAAAATGAGAAGTTTGAGATCCATGGGCTTGAGAACTAAGTTTAAGTCTATAATAGAAAAAGCATTGAATCTCCATTCTAGTCCTGTTTCTATATTTCGTCAGCTGGGGACTGGGCAAGACCTGTCCCTCCTCTGGGCCTCATTTTGTCATCTGCAGAGAGATGAGAGTAAGGTGAGAGATGAAAGAAGGTCTCTAGGATTTCAGAAGTGACAGTGACCTCTGGAGATGAGAAAGTATAGATTCTTGTGCTACACAGATAAGAAACTAAAGCTGCCAGAGAAGATCAAAAGCTTCCAGCAGTACCACCTAGGTAAGAGCTGGGGCTTGGACTCAATTCTGATTCAGAAGGAAATGCTGATCCACTCTCATTGCCCTGAGCTCCTCAGGTCCTTCAGAGACACCCTATCTGAAGTGAACCAAGGTGACCCAAAGGATTTATGTAACCTCTGTCAATGCCTCCATCTCTCCCCTGGGGTAATATATGCCCTGGGATAAAGTTGCTCAATATGTGTTGGCCATGAGCAGGTGTGTTTCTCAAGATTCTAAGCTGAGAAAAGTCACATCTCATTACTACCAAGATAAAGAAGCCTCTCCTCCTGTGGACAGGCTGTTGGAGCCTAAATAATAGACTGGAGCAGGGAACAAATCTATAGCATTTGCTAAACAGCCTGACCAGGTTGGGCATCCATCTGTGAAAGAAGAGTCTATGGACTGCCTTCTGTATCCAGGCTGAATCTCAGCCAAAGTGAAGACAGAATTGAAAAAGATTGATCTCCTGCTATAGCCCGTTTGACATTATGTCAGTGATGTGCCTGAATCTTTCCAAAGTTTATGAAGATAAATAGGTATTATCATCCTCCTTCCTAAGCATTCATTCACTCACTCAACAAATACTTTTTTGGTGCACTTTCAATGTGCCTAGTACTGTGATGAACGCAATAAAGCCCCTGCTCACCATTAGCTTGTATTCTAGTGGAGGAAGACAGTCAATAATCAAATTAAAAAGTGAATGTAAAGCCGAGTGCAGTGACTTACGCTTATAATCCAAGCACTTTGGGAGACTGAGGCGGGTGGATTGCTTGAGGCAAGAAATTTGAAACTAGCCTGGCCAACATGTTGTAACCCTGTCTTTACTAAAAATACAAAAATCAGCCAGGTGTGATGGCATACACCTGTAATCCAAGCTACCCAGGAGACTGAGGCACGAGAATCACTTGAACCAGAGAGGCCGAGATTGCAGTGAGCCAAGATCGTGCCATTGCACTCCAGCCTGGGCAACAGAGTGAGACTCTGTCTCGAAGAAGAAAAAGAAAGTGAACATAGAATATGTCAGATGGTGATAATTGCTATGAATGGAGGTGGGAAAGAAGGACAAAGAAGATAGGGAGTGCTGGCAGGGTCTTTGTGTGACTAGGTAATGTTGGAGCAGAGACCTGAAGAAGAAAGAGCAAATCATGCATGCAAAGAACAAATGTGTTAGGCAGATGGAGCGGTGAGTGCTAAGGCCCTTAGTGTCCTAATAATCTAAGCTGTTTTCATTTCTAGACTAGAAAATCAAAGATGTTAACTTAATTGTAAAGGATCAGTATATACTACTGTATATATTAAACAGTTTGACAAATCATACAGCAGTGCATCTATGTATCTATAAAGTCCTATTATTGTTATTGTATAAAATCACTGTTTTTGGTATAACATAACTTTCCAGATAGGAGTTTGAAAAATCCATTTGTGTGATTTAAATTGTATAAGAAAGAATGATAAACCATGAGACAATCATTAGACCCTGTGTAGAATACTCTCAATTGAACAGACCTGCACTTTGTTTTTTCTTTTTCTTTCCTTTTTTTCTTCCCACCATTCTACCCTCCTTATTTCCTTTCTTTTCTTTTTTAACATTTTAGGATCACTGTCAAAACCAAATTTTTGACTGGCAAAAATTAGCCTTGAAAATCAATGATTTATCAAAATGGAACACAAAATAAAAACAGCCTAACGTCACATAGACTAAGATGTTGATAAGCCAATGAGGAATTCCCACTATTTAAAAAGTGGCTCTCAAGATGGAGAACTCTGTATGGCTGTTCACCAAGGCTCTGCAGCTTTCAGTGAATTTTGTGTTTATTCCCAGTGTCTCTATTCTGTAGATTTTGCTTTAAATAACCAAGCAGAATATTTTATGTATTAATTCTAGTATTTTTATTCACAACTACACATCCTAACTTCAACAACCGTATTCTCAAGAATGCAAGGTATTTTTGACATGAGAAAATTTATTTTTAAAAAGTCATCCATTCTGCCCATATTCAGTACAACACAGGCATACCTTGTTGTATTGCCGTTTGCTTTATTATGCTTCATTTTTTGCATTTCACAGATACTGCATTTTTTTAAATAAATTGAAGGTTTATGGCAACCCTGCACAAACAAGTCTAGTGGCACCATTTTTCCATTGGCATGTACTCACATTCGTCTATGCCACATTTAGGTAATTCTTGCTGTATTTCAAACTTTTTAATTATTATTGCAGGTGTTATGGTGATCTGTGTGATCAGGGATCTGTGATGCCACTATTGTAATTGTTTTGGGGCACTACGTTATGCCCATACAAGATGGCAAACTTGATAAATGTTATGTGTGTTCTGACTGCTCCACTGACTCGTTGTCCCCTTATCTCTCTCCCTACCTCAGGCCTCCCTAATTCCCTGAGATACAGTAATATTGAAATTAAGCCAATTAATTGTCCTACTGTTGCCCTAATTGGCCTCTAAATATCCAAGTGAAAGGAAGAGTTCTGTGTCCCACACTTTAAATCAAAAGCTAGAAATCATCACGCTTAGTGAAAAAGGCATGCTGAAAACTGAGACAGACCAAAGCCTAGGCCTCTTGTGCCAAATAGCCAAGTTATGAATGCAAAGGAAAAGTTCTTAAAGGAAATTTAAAGTGCTACTCAAGTGAACACACAAATAATAAGAAAGAAAAACAGATTTACGGCTGATACAGACTTTTAGTCATCTGGATTAAAGATCAAAACAGCCACAACATTCCCCTAAGCCAAAGTCTAATTCAGAGCAAAGCCCCAACTCTTCATTTCTTTAGAGTCTAAGAGAGGTGAGGAAGGTGCAGAGGAAAAGTTGAAAGGTAGGCAGGGTCCTGTGGCTCATGCCTGTAATCCCATCACTTTGGGAGGCTAAGGTGGGTGGATCTCTTGAACCCAGAAATTCGAGACCAGCCTGGACAACATAGCGAGACCCCATCTCTATACAAAAATTAGCCAGATGTGGTGGTGCACCCCTGTAGTCCCAGCAATGAGGAGGCTGAGATAGGAGGATCGC